TTCTTTTATGTAATGATACGGTTTCACCTGTGCATAACTCACCACATTCACATGGTAACCCGTACACTGCAAATTCTCCAGTTTTTAAAAAAGAAAAGTTTTCATCTTTCTTAGATGAGGAGCTATTGCTATTTTACGGAAAAGAATAAATCACTTATACCTCACGAACCATCTAGTAAAAGAGACTCACACTTGGCGGATGATCAGCATTTGGTAAGAGCTACGCCCACACAAAATTAGAAGTCACTAGCTGTTATGATTTTTGAGTTATAGGAGTGTCGCTACATTTGCCTATATATGGGCTTCCCGTCGCCAAAGGGTTGAAGGAGAAATACTATCCAAAACGCTGGAGAATAGGTTTATAACATCTTTGTTTAAATCTGGGGATTGTCATGATCCTTCTAATTACCGTCCAATAACTCTGCTCCCGCTTTTGTCTAAAGTATTCGAGCGGATCGTCCATCGAAAACTTTATGGGTATCTAACCAGTTATGGGCTTCTTAGCAGGCATCAGTCTGGGTTTCAAAAGGGAGATTCAACTACAAATCAGTTGATTATGATAGTTCATGAGATATTATTAGCTTTTGACAGCAGTGAGAAGGTACTTGGTGTCTTCCTTGATTTTCGTAAGACGTTCGATAGTATTTGACATAAAGGGTTGCTGTTGAAACTTGAGGCACAGGGGCTTCCCCCTCTTCTGCTTGAATGGTTTGCTAGCTACCTATCTGGCAGAGAAATAGTGACTATGATAGAGGATGTATCCTCGTCAGCAAGGAGGATTAATAGAGGTGTACCACAAGGTAGTGTTTTAGGACCTCTTCTATTTCTCATCTTTATAGATGATATAATGGAGGGGGTCAAGTCACCCATGAAACTCTTTGCTGATGATGTCTCGCTTTACTGGATCACAAAGGAAAATGATATACAAATGGCTACCGATCAGATCAACGAAGATCTTATCCTCATGCATGACTGATCGTATCCTCATGCATGACTGATCGATAGCGTGGAAATGGCATTCAAATGCATGTAAATGTAAAGTCATGTTATTTTCCACTGGCCCTGTTTTAAGTTCTATGCTCCAACCAATCTATATAAATGAACATGTTATCCCGTATGTTTCCTAACACAAACACTTGGGACTTGTAATCAAATTCAATCTTGACTGGACGGCACACGTTGATTATGTCATACACAAAGTAAAACGGTTAACAAGTCTTTTAAAATTACAGGCACGTGCACTATCTCGACAAGCATTGAACCTTGTTTACAAGGCTTATATTTTTCAACAATTCACTTACGGATCTGCTATATACGAGAACACAACTGAAATGAACTTAAATAGGCTTGAGTCGGCTCAATATGCTTCCGCTCCAGCTGTATCTGGAGCCATGATATCTAGTTCAGCCGAGAAAGTTCTACACGAATTGGGATGGGAATCCATTACGGAAACATTTAAGTGTCATCGACTAATATTATTTCATAAAATTCTGCTAGGCAAAACACCTTCGTTTCTTAAGAATATATTGCCTGTCAACAAAAAACCTCCTTCATTTTGTTACTCCTTGCGGAGTCATGAGAGGCAGTTGTTGCCTATGGCTCGTTGCCGGCTAAATATGATTTATGAATCAATGATATTTCGTACATTACGTGAATATAATGAGTTACCCTTAGAAACTAGGTTGATTCAGTCTGTTAAGAATTTCAGATCTCATCTACGTGTACATCTTTTGTGTAGGTTGATGCAGTCTGTTGGGAAGTTCAAATCTCGCTTGCTGTTCAAACCCCGGTTTCTGAGAATACCTCAAATAAATCGTGACATTGATATTACTTACGGTCGTCTTAGAGTTGGCTCTTCCCAGTCGAGAAAAAATCTGTACAACAAGGACAGAGTCGATAATCCGTTCTGTTCTTGTGATAACATGACTTCTGAGACATCAAATCATTACTTTTTTGATTGTGCTCTTTATAAGAACGAAAGAAGCCTACTTCTATCTAATTTAAACAATAAACTTCTTAGTCAGAAAATCGACACTAAAACATTATTATTACAACGTCAATTGACATCTGCATAGCAATAATCGTAAAAGAGGTCAGTGACTGTATATACAATACCAGAAGATTTTCAGTTACGTCGTTCTGATTTTTAACTAAATAAAACCTTTGTCTTTCTCTTCAAATACACTCACTCCTGCTGCTTGATACTCGAGAACTACCCAGCATAGCTTAAATTTATCATTTGTGCTCTTTCAACAACTACATCTCATCTGTGCATACTCTCCTTAATTTTATTTTTATTTATTTACCTGCTTTAATCATTTTTCTTATTTTTAAGTTGGTCTTTTCTTTCTCTTCCCTGTCTACTTCTTTCTGTTGCTACTCCAACATGGGCCCATTTGTATATGTTATTCACGATATTTGTTCCCAGTGTACAACATGGATCATAAAGATCCGCTAGTAATTTATGTCTCAAATGGTGTCTCATTTCGTTTACTATTATTCTTTTTTGTTTTATTTGTTTTTTCTGTTACATCATTAATAAACAGCTTAGATCAATATAAATGTATCGCGTTTGGTGTAACGCGGTTACAGAGCACAAATTTGTATTTGTAGTCAACAAACGAATGAAAATTCCGGATCTGAATTGGTCAGTTTTAGAGGTTTGCAGATGAATAACGGCTGTTGGGCTATTCAAACATTGAACATCCGCCATTGTCGCGTTAAGATTAGCTTCAAATGTATCCGCTAAATAGGATTCAATAGTGGAATATTGTATTTTTTTGATTCTGTGGCAATAAGCAATAAAACGTATTAGCAGATCGGATGTTATTGAGTTATCATTAACTCCGGATATTGTTACGAAATTGGAAAAGAGTTTATAACCTAACATGTACGAGGCCTTAATTGATCGGGTAACTGGAATTTCGCCAATAGGACATTCGCCATCTGTCACGAAATAATAGTAACATAGGATACATATGAGGAGTGAAGCTAATGTTGTTAAAATATATACACTGTAAGGTTGAAAAAATCGGCGAATTTCAAAGAATACCTATGGGAATTCCCCGAGGAATTTCCAGTCGACAGAAAATCGAATTTCCAACAAGCTAGAAAATCCTCGTTGAATTTCCATAAATAATTTTCAAGAAAGTAGAAATTTCTTTTGGATTTTCTATGAACTGAAAATTTCTTGGTGGGTCTGCACCAAGTGGTGGCGAGACCAGGTTGTATGAGGGTTGACCCCGCTCATGCTTTTGAGAAATTTCTGGTGAACGTCCGATTTTCGGACCTTGCTACCAAACCTTCGCGCCACCACTGTCTCTGCCTACATCAAAACTCTTGCTGGCACAGGCAGAATTGTGATCTAAAGTAGAAACTGTCAAAGTTGATTTAAGTGTAATATGAGTGCCGTTACGTGACGCTCTTATACCTATACTGATTGCAAAACAAAAAATTGAATAACTATTTGGTCTAGAAAGTCCTGGACGAATTTCCACTTTCTAGAGAATCGTCGAGGATTTTCTAGCTTATAGAAAATCAAAATCGAATTTCCAGATTCTTCGAAATTATTTTTTTTTCCAGTTGACTTTCCAGTTTATAGAAAATCCTCAGCGATTCTCCACCTTTATAGAAAATCGAATTTATGGAAAATCAAGTCGATTTTCCATATAGTAGAAAATCAACATTTCTTTGAAAGCTGGAAATTCGTCGAGGAATTTCTATAAACTGGAAATTAATTCAAGATTACAGTATACCATAGCTTACACTTACGATATATTCGCATATGAGCGAGTCATGTTTTTAATGAGAAAAAGCGAGATTAATATGAAGAAAAAGACAAATAAAGCGTAGCCTAATGTTCATCTGACGATGCGCCTGATGAATCTGATTTTGAAACATTATTCTTGTTTTTCTTTCCTTTCCTTCCTCGTCAAAAGACGAGGCATTAAACGTTTATTCTGCGAGACTTCCATTAGAGCTATTGTAGAACATTATTTTATCTTTACTAAGAAATCGAACGGACTAGAGCACTAAGTGTACCGGACTTAACAATGACAACAACATACACGAACATAACCTATTAATGCAATCGATGGGAATTTTTCTAGTCCACGTCTGATTCACAGTCAAAATAGTGAAAGTACAGTGGACATTCGCCAATTGGCGAAATTTCCGGGAGTATATTGGCGAAAGTCTTATTTAGCGAGATTCCCGAACCCCAGTTGATCGCGGTACTGAGTGCGTTAACAATTCGTTCACGATGTTGTCTATTAGCTCCTTGAAAACATTAAGTCGCGCGATGGTGAAATCGATCTTGGATAAGCCACGTTGTTGAGACCAAACGACGAAACTCGCCTATCTTAGAAAGTGAAAGGCAATCCGCAATTAGGCTATCTGTTGTAGGGAGATAAGTTACTGTGACATGAAAAGAATATGTTGCTGAAATCAATGTCAATTATCTCATCAGTTTCATAATGAGAGGACAACGACCTCGACCTCTGTTAATAATGCGCACGACAGCTTGGTTATCACAGTACAATCGAATTCATTTACGTGTCCAAAGTTGGCTTCAAATACTTGCAGATACCACTATCGGATATGATTCGAGAAAACCAGTTGACAATCTATTTGACAATTGAAGAACTTCTTGAGGGTAAATCATTGTGAGCTAAAGATACCACCAAAATGATGTACATGCATCGATATGAAAAAACAAATCGGTTTTCGACGTATAGTTTGGTTCAAGCATCAAGGCAACGCCGTTCCACGAATCAAGAAACATACGCCACATAAGGAGATCTAGGTGAGCGTCTTGGTTGATGTACACGTGATGATTCAGATTACCGACGGTAGTAGAAAGTTTCAACAAGAATGATGTAAATGAACGTCTTGCTACGACCACTCTGGCGGCAAAATTCATGTGACCGAGCAAACTGAGCAGGCCTCTTTTGGTAAATTTTCGACGATTTAACATTGACTTAACTGAGGTTTGTATTCTTTCAACTTCTCAAGAATGGCGGATCACCGAAAAATTCTATCGGGGGCGCAGCACCGAATATAAACCATAACATTGATGCGGATTGATTTCTACATGATGTTCCTGATGCACCTCTTGATTTGATACGACTTATTCCGCTACTGGTATTATTAATACTACGATCACTGGCTCGTCTATTTTGATTATATCTTCCACAACTATCACATTTTCCTGGCGATTGGTCTTGATTTACATAATTGTTTTAAACCATTTCAGTTGTTGTTATTTGCCAGTGTGTACGCGAAACATTCGATACTCTAAGTAGAGTAGCTTTAATGAATGCACAAATAATTCGCTGAGCATTGTGCACAAAGTGTATCGTAACTCATGTAATCTGAGATTACAACGGTATTGTGTGTGTTCTCACCGGTTGTAATATGAACTGCGAAGATAGTTGCTTGCTTGACATTCCAATGCTTGCTCTGAATTTCTCTTTGCGTATCAGAACTATAATTCTCAGCAAAGTCAAGCTGTGTAACAGCCAATTCTTGATTACGACACTTTCTCATTTCCTCTATATAATATTTTTGTCGACGGTGTATATACTGATGCATACAAAAAAGCATCGAAACGGCTATCAAGAGCTTGAAGTAGATCATCAACGGAACCTGATATTCTTTTGATATCAACCTAGGTCAGAGAGTTACCCACGTTAAAAGACGATGGGCCAAAAAATCTACTGCTTACTTTTTTTCTTCCTGTTCCCATTTCATATAGTCACAGGGATCATCAACGGTTCCATTAAACTTTGACAGTAGTTTTTCACTTGCCAATATATCACCACACTTTTTACAACTACGACTCACAGAAGCTAAATCATTTGCATTACATAGAACAAGTGCAAGTAAGTTAGACATTTTTTCATTGCTGACACGTGACCATCTCTAGAGAAAAGGGTGCTTAAATGATTCACCAAAAGCGATAAAGAGCCACTTACTTCCATGAGCAGCGAGATATTTTCATGATAGATGCAAACGCAAACTTCATGAGTTGATGTCTTCTTTGCATATTTTGGTCTGAGACTGTTGAATTTTGAACGTCTAATTTCAAAACCTGGATAATCTTGGCGAAATTTTTCATAGGCCTCACCAACTGTACATGTTAGAAATCTAACAGGCATAGGAATTTTATCTTTTGGGTCACCGAAACAGACTAGTAAAGTGTCTCGTTTATTTGGTGAGGCTCTACTCACTGAGTCCGACGAAGTAGTAATCAATGACTTGATTCACTGTATCAACTGCAATAGGTTGGTTTCCGCGACAATACTCTGGACGTGCCAAGAATCCTTTAGTCACACGTAACTCAATTGCATTTCGTGCTTGTGTATCAGTGGCATCCAAAAATGTTGCAACTTTCAAACGACCCCAACTTTCGACCCCCAAGTGTTAAAATTTGAATTTGATCTACATAAGCACTCTGTGCGAAGAGCTATAGTAAGCCACGTAAACATACAGAGACTTTTATCTTACGTCAACGTAGACGTCCCGTACTTTACTCAGCAGGGTATAGTGCTCGTTGTGGTTTGTGTGAAAAAGATCTACGAAAAGAGAAGAAGCGTCACTTGAAAAACACGCCGGATATGTTCGATTACGTCAACGATTTGTATCTAAAACTCTACGGACATAATATTGATGATGAGACTGCACTATGTACAGCTTGTTACATGAGACACAGCAGACGAGTTAAAAGTGGTACAAATACAGATGATTCAAATATAGAGATGGACACTGAAACGAGAGAAAATGAAACTGTAACTATTTCTTCCGTCAGATTGCAAGCCCCTTCGCCCAGTTCAGATGCCAAAACAAGGAACGCTCTCTTTTAACTGAAGACACAATAAAGTTGCCGATTGCATTTCCTGGTTTCTCAAAGAAATATTGTTCGGTATGCCATCAAACTTTGGATGACGGAACACCTTCTACAAAAATGAGTGACGAAATTCAAATCAATACATTTATTTATCACTCGGTTTATTTTAAAGACGGCTCACGCTCCTGTCTTCGCCATATCGAAGGCGATCACTTAAATGAAGTAGCTGTCAAAATCCTTCAAAAATATCATTCTGCCACGGCAGAAAATACTGCAAACGGCGAACAAATCTCTCTCTTAACCAAAGAAGTTCAATCACATTTGGAACAGATAAAACCACAGTCTTTGTTTAAACCGAAATCGTACGAATGAGAAACACGGAAAATCGATCGATTCGAATGGCAATTGGCTGTCTGCTTACAAAATTGAGAACCGGACTAAGTAATCAAGTGTTGGCAACACTTTTTGCATATAGCGATAGACGCGTCGCTGGCAAAATTAATCATAGTGCATACGATGCCTTGCAACGCGATTTTGTGCCTCAATACTTAGGCTTTCATCATATAACGAGAGAAGAAATTTTGAAAAAACACACTACTCCACTAGCTAGTGCTTTGCTAATCGATGGCGACGGAGTGGTAATTATTCTCGATGCAACTTATTTTTAATTATTAATATTTATACCGAAAAGCCAGGCAATAATATCTTGCAAAGACGTCTCTTCTCATTGCACAAAGGTCGTAGTCTTATTAAACCGATGATGATTGTAGCATCGGATGGCTACATAATCAGTTCTATTGGCAGCTATTTGGCTGATTATTAGACTTGTCCAGAAATAATGTCAAGATCGAGGATGATTTAAATATGTATTCGTAAAACTTCTAAAAAGTCAGTAATGCCCCAAACTTGAGCAGCTAAATGTGTTGATACTATTCCTGGAAAAGCTCGTTACAATAACGACGCCAATATAACTCGTCATATACTAGACACAAACGAAGAAAATATTCTTGATTGGTTACAAGAAAAAGATACATTTGTTGTCGATCGCGGATTTCACGATGTTCTCCCTCAGATAAAAGCATTTGGGTACAATGTCTATATGCCATTGTTCTTACCGAAAAATCAAAAACAGTTTACGACTTCTGAAGCTAATTCAAATCGTTTTGTAACTAAAGTACGCTTCGTAATAGAGTGTGTTAATGGAAGAATTAAACAGTGGAGATTCTTTAACAAAGTAGTACCTCATTCCAGTCTTCCATTTGGTCACGGATATTTTTCGATAGTCTGTAGTTTAATCAATGCATTTCGTCCTCCGTTCGTTCAACATACTTCGGCTCATGAAGAAATAGCTCGTGAAATGCAAAAAAAGAGAGATGAGAAGAATAAACTATTGTCAAAGCTGAATGACAAGGAGTTTATGAAAATTAAAAAATGGACATCGTTAAAAGCCAGTGATACAGCCGTCGATTTTCCTAAGTTTTCAAAAGAAGAGTTAGAAAAACTAACCTACAGTGTTTTTCAAGTGAAAATGGCAAAAAGCTATGCCGTGGAACACGTCAATGACGATGGTGAATATGCAATTCGAGTATCAACCGATACTAAAAATCTTTGATGTATTACATACCACTCCCTTTAATGTTGTTCTTAATTCTTTAATAAATTTGAACTTAAATTGAGATAATGGTGATCTGATTGTACCTCTTGAAGAAGTAATAATTCTCAGTTCTGCATTTTTCTTATGTAATTTGAGTTGACCACGAATTTTTGGTATATCATCAACTGAGGTTAAATAATATTATGTTCTGTAATTTTATTTTGTTTCAATAATTTTGTAACTTTTTAATACGAATTTAATATAGATACTAGGGGTGTCACTTTACTGTTCTTTACCAAGTGATAAATAATAAAACGTGTTAGTTCTTACCTGGAAACAAGTAATAAATCTTATTAGTTTATTACTTATTACTT